TCTTTCATGGTTTCAGAGTTATTATATAAATAAGGCAATTTTTTTTGAATAGGTACTTAATGAAAAATACGTTTTCAACTTTTACTGTACCTACATTATTCAAAAAATACACATTCTAAACTGGTCTAACTTCAGGATCGTATGAAAAACACTAAAACAAAACTAATTGTAAAGGATCTACGATTAATTTTAATTCTGATGGAAATGGTACAGCGTTTACTGCTAATTTTTCCTTAAACAATATGAGCAACCCATCTTCAATTTTGTTCTAATTAACTTTTATAAGTGCTCATTTTGAAGATCTTTTTGAGTACTACAAAAAACTTCTGGGGCGTTATACACATAAAATTACTCCTTTTTCGTTATTTAACGTTGAATAGATGTACTATTCGAGTATTCCTCCCAAAACAAGTCTCCTTCCACTAACCATATTTCGCTTTGTATAGGACGTACAACACTTTTTAAAAACGATTTTCTTTGTTTATTTATAACCTACATTGTTCATTACACTTTTTTAATAAAATCCGTAGTTTTTGAGTTATTCGCGAAAAATACTTTGAAAAAGTGTTTTTTTCACTCAAAATTCCAAGTGTTCAATCGTGAATAACTAAAAAAATTTTGATTTCTCGAAAAAATTCTTCGAATATTTTTTGCTCAAAATTTGATCTCTATCAATTTTCAGCGTTACCCCGAGAAGCGGTGTCATTGGTGTCAACCCCCAACATGGTGGAAGGGTCAATCAGCGCTATGTTACTAATGTTCGTTGACCTATTCTCTAACTATCTGCCAAATTTCAAGTCGATCGGTTCAGTATCAAAGAATTCGGAGGTGAAAAGCTTCAATGACTGTATTATAATGTAATTAAATTAAAAAAAATGAAAATATAAAAAATAAAAACCAACTGATTGCAGCCGTCAGTTGATAATGAAAAAAATATGCGAACAAATGAGCAACCTCTTTAGAGATCTCAGGGTCGACCACCCCTATTTTATTTTTTTTGTACCTATGCAAATTTCGTACCAATTTTTTGCATCACGAAAGCTCTCTGTCACTCCTTAAAAAACGATATGGATCCCATGTCTCATTATCACAACCACTTTCTGTTTTGCGAGCCGTCACTGGCATGGTGTGAAATAATAAGATGTGCCATCTTTTATATTTAATATAATTGCAAAAATAAATCTATTTTTATTCTAATATTCTTAGGTATTGCAAGTGTCATACCTACACGTGTGGCGATTTATTTTTTTCTTTGATTTCTAAGAATTTTTCATAACAAAGTCTGGAATATTGTCATTAAAGGTTGCATTCGTTCCCTATATATCTACTTCTAACCAAAGGTCGTTGAGACCTACTGTGTATTTAAGTACATTACTATAACGATGTCATGTTTTGAGTAAATGGATATAGGTATCCACCAACCCTTGACTATACTAGAGTTATATTTAAAATAATTATGAAATCAGTTCAATTTTTAGGTCCATAATAATAATTATAAATATTGTTTTACTATGCAGTTTGATTGTCTGAATGATTGGTGATCAGGTGATCTTTCTAGGTACCTATATGAAACATATTCAACATTATTCCAAAACTGACATTTTGTTTCCAAGGCAAAAACTTGTTTTCAATAATTTACTAAAAAGAAAAATGTTATTTAATTATTACTGCAGCTTTAATTATTATATTTCTTTGAATTTTCAAAACAAGTCAACTTTTATTTTGAGGGTACACGTTTCCACATTTAATTTCACCCTCAATCTACGTTCTCTTGTAGTATTATTATTTGTTATTATATGAAAAATTGAATGGTTTTTTTATTGTATCTACAGGGTGGGTCAGTTTTTTGTAGTAGGATTTTAACAGTTGATAGAGAATCATTTTTTAATAAGAAAAGTTCCTATAAACGTAGGTCTTAGAACGCTTCGTTTGTGAGATATAGAGTCTTGAAAACAAACTTTTTTTACGAATTTTTCTTAATATCTCTAAGAGATCAACATATATTGAACTGAAATTTGGTATTAATAACACATTGGTTATGGTGAATAAAACAAAGATATCTGTTATCCATTTCACACACCAGTGACGTGCCTGAGGTGGGTTACCCTTTAAAAAAATAATTCGTACGCCCGTGGATTTTTCTAGAAAATAACATCATTTCTAAATTTTTTAATCAATTTTAAACAAAACAGCTCTCTTTAAATTTTTTATAAAATGAACGGTTTTTGGTTAAATTCATTTGGCATGAAACTGTTCCAACGATATAGGTAATACATTATTGTAATAAGAAAAATATGATATGTACCCTGAAAATCAACAAAAACGATTAAATGTCATAACGTTAACATAAGAACGCAAACATTGTGTAACGTGTGTGTCAATTAGTTCTTTTTTTTAAGTTCTGTGTTTGTTTTTTCATGCCAAATATCAGTTTAATATTTGTTGGTCCTATATCCCTATATCTCACAAACGAAGCGTTTTAAGACCTATGTTTATAGGAACTTTTCTTATTAAAATATGATTCTCTATCAACTGTTATTATTCATTAAATCGTTTTTGTTGATTTTCAGGGCACATCATATTTTTCTTATTAATTCATAAATGTATTAGGTACCAATATCGTTGGAACAGTTTCATGACAAATGAATTTAACCAAAAACCGTTCATTTTATAAAAAATTGAAAGAGAGCTGTTTTGTTTAGAATTGATTAAAAATTTAGAAATTATGTTATTTTCCAGAAAAATCCACGAGAGTACGAATTATTTTTTTAAAGGGGGCAGTAACCCACCTCAGGCACGTCACTGGTGTGTGAAATGGATAACAGATATCTTTGTTTTATTCACCATAACTAATGTGTTATTAACATCAAATTACAGTCCAATATGTATGTTGGTCTTTTAGAGATATTAAGAAAAATTCTTAAAAAAGTTTGTTTTCAACACCCTATATCTCACAAACGAAGCTTTCTAAGACCTACGTTTATAGGAACTTTTCTTATCAAATAATCAATCTCTATAAACTGTTAAAATCCTACCACAAAAAACTGACTCACCCTGTATAATTAAAACTAAAAATACTTACTAGTTATGTAGGTACCTCTGTACCCTGTACCTATAGGTAAATTAAGAAAAATAAAATGTTTTCAATTTCCATACAAATCCCTACCGTGTTGATGGCATACGTGATAATCATGATTCAACTTACTTACATACCTACCTAATGTTGTTCGAAATATGTTTTTAAAACAACTATACCTATTTACGAAAAAAAAATACTTAGGTACAGGTATATGCTTTTATATTGTCTCAAAGGAAGCTTAAAAAACCATAAATTAAAAAATTACATTTTAGAATTTTTATTTCTCCCTTAAATGACATGTATTTGTAAGCTATATCATAGCAGGAATTCATTATAGGCACATTACATTACATAAAATAATTCTTTTATATAAATATTTATAACAGGTAGGCATTTATTTTAATTTACCTACTTACCCTCATAAATTAGGTGGAGTTTCATTGGAAGGTAGGTAGGTAGTGCATAGTAATCCAGATACCTATCTTGTCTGCTCTAAACAATGTCATGATTTATAAAAATAATATTTAAATAGGTAGGTATAAGTATCTTTTATTCTAATGTGGTTGTACAGCTGTTATGGGGGAATGTTAGGTAATTACATAATTACCTTATAATGATTTTAAGAAAGCCAGCCAGATAAGGTGCAATTCGCCCATTTAGTCCAAGGTCCAAACTTTCCAACACCCCAAGGGTGCATCCAATAAGACCGAAAAATTAACAAGAATCTTATTGGACTGTTTCACCTGTTGCGCGGCTTTCTACGATGAATAAACGTAAGTAATCTGATATTTTAGAATAAGCGGAAAGCGGACATACTCTAACAGTCTTGTAATGATCCGTGTTGGCTTATCTCAAGTCCCACCCACCCCTATGCTCTGTAGCTGAGTATACGGGCAACATTCTTTAAAAAAGTGTTACGAAGAGTCAAAAAGTCGTCCTCTTTTTCAGGGGGGTCAACCACCCCACGTTAGCATGCACGTGTATCCCCGTTTCGGTGCAATCACCCTGTTAAGTCATACTCGGGAACGAACGCAACACACCCAGTACCACCGATTTGGGCAACTGTTCGAGCCCTCAATGTAAGAGCTCAAATCGAGTCGGCCAAATATGTTTAAATCACGCCTAAACGCTTGGTACACTCAGTAAACAATTGATCGCTTGTGCATCCACAACTCCCAAGGTCACCGCGGCTGTGTGGTGGTGGTATTCTCAGCCATAGTTGCGCGGGGCTCGACTCGAGTTCCATTTAGTTACTTGAAGGGTGCGCACCACTGTCACTGTCAGTTCTTCTCAACCCGCACCCGAGTTCACCCCCATGCAATCAGTGAATTTGTATCTGAGTGACCTGTCAGTTAAGTGGTGGTGATCTACATGTGCTTTTAGTAAACAATTGTGAGACGCCAGACACAGCTTGCTTGTATTATTACAAGGACAATCTATTGCGTAAGTGTTTTAGAATTAAACGATTTGCGCACACCCTCATCCACGGCGCATGACATAAGCCACCAGTTTAGAAGCAAAAATACTTGCCTTAGCTTACTAAATTTAACACACCTAGTTTTAAACCGCACGGAATTATTTGAAATATTTTCTGAAACTTGGCTAAATACTATTTATTTATTTGAATTTGTCTAATAAAGGTTATTGATTAAAATATTAAATGTAAATTTAATAAATCAATTTGCTGTACTATTTATCTATCAGTTGTTCTGTGTTTATCACTCAATAATCTTAAGCTAACCACAAACCGTGTGAAGTAATATGTACAGGAAGGTATGTATAACGGTGCCTTTATTATATCCGCGGGTATCGGGGAAAATACGATTATGCGCTAAAAACATTCAAAGACTTCGCGGTTCTTTGTACCCCGAGCAACCCCGATAATTTCCGAACCCGACAGAGACAGAATATTTGCTGACATGGCGTCTTAAAAGTGTTGTGGTGTTTAGTTATCCTGTTTAGGGATTCAACCCTTTTGTTTTTATGGTGTCACTTTAAAAAGGTAACCTATAAAAATATTTCTAACTTTGTTATCTATTTTCCTGCGGAGTTTCAGTCGTTTACAAGGTGTAGGCCAAAGAAAACTATTGAATTTATTTTGAGTAGGGTCGTCGACTTGATTTACCCTAGCTTTTAAAATCAATATATTTCTATAAATCAATATGTAAACCCTCATGTTGTACCCGCAGCTTGTGTTAATTCACCCACATTTTCATTCTATTATCACAGAGTAGTAATTTAGCATTTGTTGTGTTTAAATTTAGTTAATTAAAGCAAAGGGTTGCGTAAACTGGCTTTCGTATCGTAGTAGGCGGGGTGTAGCTCTCCGCGATAAGTGATTTTAAACATGGCGCAGGGCTGTGCCATTTTTCGCGAGGGGTTGTCTCTTACCAGGAATATATTTCAAATTCAGAAATAATGTATATTTACACTGCACAAGTTGCAATGTTTATGTTCAATGATGTTAGATGCTACATTGCGGGAGGGGCAAGAATTGATATGATGTAATATAGGAGTTCAAGAACGATTCGGCATCTCTATGTGGACACCTGTGTGATCATTATAATCATATAGGCCTTGATTTTTAGGCGCAATATTCGAATGTTTTATTTTTTTGCTTTATAATTAATTTTGAATACTGCTCATAAAATTTAACCAAATATACCTGTAAAAAATTATTTAAGTGCTTCAAATTTTATTCAGTGGTGTTTACATTTTTCTGATTTTATCGGTCAGAACTCCTGTCTCTTAAATATTTTCTAATTAATTTTTATTAATGATATAAATAATTAGACAATTTTAATAAATTTTTAATACATAAGTTTGTTCTACTCTCCTTTCTGTCCATGTAACAACAAATAAAATTTGTTTTAATAGGTAACTGAGATTATAATGCATTAATTTTTCTGTAAAAAAAAAGTATGCCTGTACTAAGCTTATATTGTCATTATAAAAATATGCTATTTGATGACATTAAAATTGTTGTGATTTAGTGACATTATATTTTTATTTGTTTTAGTGGTCTCCAAAAAAAATACAAAATTCCACCTGTACCGCCAATGTCAAGTTTAACCTATCGATACCCACCGCAGACACAATATCATCAACCTGGCTTGGCAGTCCCAGCACCAGCAATGTCTTCCCAACGTTTTTGCTTACGATGGAATAACCATCAATCAAACTTACTATCAGTATTCGATCAACTGCTACATGACGAAAGTTTTGTAGATGTTACTTTAGCCGTCGAAGGACAACTTCTCAGAGCACACAAAATGGTTCTTTCAGCGTGTAGTCCTTATTTTCAAGCATTATTTATAAATCATCCTGACAAACACCCTATAGTTATATTAAAAGATGTACCTTATAGTGATATGAGAAGTTTATTGGACTTTATGTACAGAGGTGAGGTAAGCGTAGACCAAGATAGGTTAACGGCTTTTTTAAGGGTAGCCGAAAGTCTCAGGATAAAGGGTTTAACAGAAGTTAATGAAGAAAAATGTGATACTATAACTTCTTCTCTCACTCAACAAAATCTGAATGCCAATATGCCCCATTTGCAACGCCTGCAACAAAACAAACGGTTCGGAAATAATTTAAACATGTTAGGTAACGCATTACTACAGCCGAAGAGGAAAAGAGGCAGGCCTCGGAAACTCTCGGGTAGTTCGAACGGACCTGACGATTATGATAATAAGGATATAGTACAAGGAAGTCCGGAAATGCTGGAAGTTAAAATGGGAATGGACAATTTTACTGGAAATAACTCTGACACCAGTACTGGAAAACCAGACAATGACGATGATAAAGTAAAGGATGATACGGAGCCAGTCGCTGGCACTTCTAAAGAGCAAACGTTTAATAATTCAAAAACCTCAGATGATGTCCAGTCTTCTGGTAAGTTTAAATAACATCTAAATTATAATTTATACTGTTAACCAAATATTTTTTACTGTCGTCCAATGTTGCTCTCCATTAGGGGTAAAAAATTTATGAACATATTTAAATAGGTATGTACTTTACTCTGGATTAAAAATAATAATTATAAAAAAGTTAAGCTTATTTAGTCACAATTTTATTTTAATTTTTGATGATAAATTACAATAAAAAATAAAATAAGACATATTTTTTTATGAATTATATATCTGGCTAATAATAACACTGGACCCTGTCACCTCGAGCCTTATTACTTTATTTTTTTTCTTTTAAAAATTAAAAAATTAAAAATAAGTAATCACTAAAAATTTTTTTATGATTTTACTGATATTTAACTATTCAAATAGGTACTTAAAAGGCACCTTAATCTATCTCAAAATCAAGATTTGATGTGTTTAGTGTTGGTATTAATTTAAATATGAATTTAAGTTTAAACGTATTCTAAATACGATTTGGTCATTTTTTTAATGATGTTCCGATATGTCGATTAAAAATTTGTTTTTCTATATATTTAAAATGGAAATAAATTCCTTTCAGGTAATTTCATTATAAGTCAACGGAAAACATGTAACAAATTTTAAATTTGCAGATATATTATTTATCGGTATTTAAATATTTATAACTATGTGAGTGAAGGGAAAAGCTATAGTGCTGTTTTAGTGAATTAAAATTGTGTGCATCACATTTTGAGGTGAGTTAATGAATATTTTTAGTGATAAGGGAAGAGTTAAAGGAATGAGCCATTGTTTTTAACATTACTAATTCATATGTGTCACATTACATCACTTAATCTTCTATCCACACATTTTAGACGCGGCTTATTCCCTATAGCTTTTCCCTTTATAACAGTATTATTTATTATAACAGTATTGTACATTGCATTCTGCTTTTTGGTGGTGGACTTTGAAAATGGGCATGTACATTGAGTTAGTTTGTGGCTAGAAATAATTGGTGGCATTCATTTCCTACTGATCAAAATTGTAGTTACAACATTTTTATTTTCCTATTACCTTATTTTGTTTTAATGTTAGAAGAAAATATATTTTATTGAACAATCAGTTCCTTATTAAATCAAATACTTTGGAATCATTTGTAAAAAGAAAACTTATTTCTTATTTTCTTTCTGCCATATTCAGTTTTTCCAATATTCAAAATTTTTAAATATTTAAAATATTTAGTGGCTAAAATATTTTACATCATATTTTGCAGATAAAGGTATTCTCCGAACTTCTACCATATTCCTCATGCAATTTCTTTATATTTGGTTTCTACAGCTAGTCCCGATGTATAGTGGACACACCATTAATTAACAGAATACATACCTAAGTAAAAACCAAATAAATTTCAAATATTTTTCTGCTAAATGGGTCCTAAGTATGTGGATATTTTGAAACTATATCTCTCAAAATTGTAAATCCTGAGCTACTATGATTGTTATTAAATTTCTTAGATTTTTTTTTAAGATTAACAATTTTTTTATTTAGAATCTAATAATATGACAATCATTTACACCCATTGTCTTGACCTATTCAATATTTTCTAGTTATGGATTAAACGTGTAAGAAAAAGTGTAATTTTAATAAATAATAAAAGAGTAAATGTTATAAATTAAAACCTACCAAGAACCTGTTATCTTTTTAAATTTGTGAACAAAATTTAATAATGAATCTTGTATAGAATGAGTGACCGCAAAAAACCTGTGATTTTTGCCAGTTTTTTCACAACTCGCAGATAATTAAAAAAATACATAAAAATATGTTTTTTGTCGCAAATTACTTGTTGTAAAAAACTGAAATGAGCATAGCTTTTAGTATTTTGAAAATTTTAAAAGTCACCTCTACTTAGGGGTTGAAAAAATGCAAAAAATGTAGAATTTGAATATTACCAATTGATATAAAAACTATTAGCATGTGAATTATCTTAATATATTTTTTTGGAATTTTTACAATTATTTCTGATATTCTCTATTTTTGGGGTTGATTCCACCCTCTGAGCGCGCTTAAGGGTGGATTTTCTAATTCAATATGCTTATTTCAGTCATGAGAATAAATCTTTCTTTGTATCAAGAATCATTCGATAGAAAAATTTACATGCTAATAATTTTTATATTTATTGGTTATATTCAATTCTTCATTTTGGGCGTCTTTTCAACCTCTAAATAGGGGTGATTTTTGAATATTTTCAAAAAACTAAAAACTGCTCATTTTAATTTTTTACGACGAGTAATTTGAGACCAAAAACATATTTTTATCATTTTCTTTAGTTCTCTGCAAATTGTGAAAAAACGGGCGATTTTTGCGGTCACTCCTTGTACGGTGTATGGGCTATATGATAACTTTTAGTTATTAGAATTCAGTTAAAAAATTGCTAATAACAAAATCACACGAGCCTAGAATTTGCAATTTTGAAAAATTATCTTTTTTAAGTGTGCGCATGCTTCAGTCTATTTACTAGGAAATTATTTGAAATTCAAAAGGAAATTTATTTGTATTCATTATATGAATGACTTTACGTCTATAAATCGAATCGTGCTATATATTTTTAATCTACATTATGAAATGTATGAAAATTTTTCACAACCAATAATTTTTATATAAAATATACCTAATTTCATTGTCATGATAAGTACACAAATATTCAATTCAAACAAAATCTACTTATTAATTTTTGATCAGTAAGTAGGCAACCAAGGAACCAAATCTTTGATAATCCCTGAAAATTTATTTTATTGTTGAACTAGCTCCCACTGCATATGTATTAAATATTTTTTGGGGAAAGAAAACTGTCTGCTTAGATATTTGCACATGAAAAATTAAGAAAATAAAAATGATGCATAAGCAAATTCTTAAAGCATTTTATTATAATTCTGTTAACTGATTGCATCCCTTAAGGTTCATGTAAATGTCTAAGTTAATCGAGTTTTACGTAACAAAATACAAATACCTGTGTAGGCGAGATATGGCCTCTATTTGGACAGCAATATATTTGCTCATTAAATTCAATATTATTACATGGATATATCTGATGTACCTTTATTATGCAGATACAGGTTCATTGTTGTATCTTTTAACCTTACTTTCTAATATAATGTCTGCATATAAGTTATAAATGTGCATGCTCTGACATTACATATTACAAAACATTTCATCTTTTCCTGTTACATTTCACATATTAAATCAAAGGTATATTATTTTTTTGTAGTTCAAATATTTTTCTGATTCTGAGAAAGAAATACTGAATTCTACTTTTTCTTATATTTTTGCAAAAATGTTTGGCCCTATTGTACAGAACTTAATACAACAGAATATTTTTATGTGTAAACATTTTCTTTCAATGTTCTCGTTTTTGATTTAAACAAATATCATTTGAGTAAATGCATATATTGAAGTGTATTTAATTGTAAGTAGCAATAAATTTAGATGGTTCTAGTCATAAAAATAATGGTACAGTTATTGTAAGCACTTCATCAACAAATTATTTTGAATAACATTATGTAATTAATGAAAATTGTGAAATTTAAAAATAATTTACCGTGATTTCCGTGGAAAACTTGATTGCAGAATATACCCTAACCCAAAAATATTAAATACATATTTTATAATCAATTTTCTTGCAAATAAGGGACATTGATTCTGAGTGTAGTTTGTTGCCACTAATTAGAGTACAAAATTTGAAAAAAAAACGATTACCAAAAAAGTCATGGAAAAGTATTAACTAATAAAATTTCCTTGGGGTTTTGCAACTTTGTTAACATTGAAATTTAAAAAAAGGGTTATAGAATCTTGTACCATTATTTTTAGGAGTATAGTTCCTCTATTAATTTGTAGCTCATAGTTTCCCAGTATTCGGTAAAAAATAGAAATTAAATAAATAAAATATAAAATAAAATATCAGTATACAAAGATTTAGATAAATTTAAAACTTTTACAAAAAGTGTTCAAAATGGGATATGTGTGCCTCAATACAGTTTCTAATTACAGAAAAAATAAGAAAATATTTAGATATTTGAAAACCTTAACATCCTGTACATATCTACTGAAATAACAGTTTGAAGGATTGATGTTTGTATAAGAAAATATTTTGAAGGAAAATGCTTTTTCACATTTGACACGTTTTATGTATTATACAGAGCCTTCATAAATGTTTACAAGCCACGTGACTGCAGAGCTTAGGCAACCAACATTGCACGATTGGTACTGGTAACGAAAATTTTCTAGATCTTGGCGTCACCAATATTAATGATTCGTTTCCAGTGAACAATGACAAACTGTTACGTCTACGCTCGAAATAATGCGATCGCTGACTGGGTGAAAATTACACCAATTACCCGTCGGTGAAACAAAATTTTGTGTTTTAATCTAATTTTGATATTATTGTTTTAATTTTACTGAAATTTATTTGCCAACGTGAAGGAAATATAATTACTGTTCCCAACAATATTACTGGTCAGGTGGCTTGTAATCATTTTTGAAGGCTCTGTATGTTAGTGAACTAAGTAACTAAAATGAACAAATAAGAGAGATTTTGGTATTTTATAATCCATATACATCGCTTTTCATTTTCACTAGTTTTACTGACAGCATCGAGTGATAAGTACCTAGTGCACTTTCCTAATAATAAGTTTGTAATAGAATTTAATGTTCTTAAAATATATTTTCTTTCTATATATCTAGCATGTATCTAATTTTTTTATGCAATTATTATAAAAGAAGGCGGTTAATGTTTAGTTTTTATTTTCTTTCAGATGAAAAGGAAAAACTTAATTCATCGAATAGTATGCAATGTATAGACTTTAATTCATCATTGCATGAAGAATATAGCCTGCCATATCAGGACCAAGACTATTCAACGTCTGATGTAGAAATGGAAGAAAACGATAATGATATCCAGGAGATAGATTCGAATTACGAAAGTCTAGATATAAAATTAGATCCTAAAATGATCTTAGATAGTTTTACCAA